TAAATACGTTGTTATTATCAATGTTGGTCCGACATTCTAAAATACTCCTTTGTAGGATCATTTACTTTTAAAAAGGGTGGTCCAGCATGCAATCTACTTGCTTTTGTGAAATTAGAAAATAACTAAAGTTCTGTAGTATATTGATAAATATTTTTCTTGGTCTTAGAGAAATCCAAAAGTTGTTATATAAAAAATAATTTCCCTCTTTCCTATGCTATGCTATCAATTTTGAAAATACAAAACACTGACACTAAAACAAAAAAAAACAAAACTTTTTCATCAATTTAACATGTTGAATGTCAGATGGCCAAAACCAAAATATGTTTGTTTTTATACAGATTGTGCTAAGTAGATTTCAGAGATTCCAATAGTTTATACACAAATCAAATGTGACATTTGACTAATTTTTAAACTACAATTGGTACTCCTGTTGACCACCAAACAATGAGGTTTGTTATTCCAAGACTAACCCTGATAATAACAATGCTTAGAATACAAGTTATTTCTGTATATAAAAAATAGCTGTGGAAAGAAGACTAAAGGAGTGGAGAAAAAGGGAACATGCGAAAGTTGCGCATACATATACCTGGCCAGGTTCCTCTATCCATTGCTTGTGGCCATTAAAAGGGCTTTTCTACAATGAAAAGATGAAGTAAATGGAGGAGATGTAGGGCTACTGACACTGGAACAGAACGTGTGGGTACACTCTAAATGAATTTTTTTCCCCACAAGCCAGAAAATGAAAACAATATGTACCAATGATGTAATTCTACAACAAATATAGTGAATCATACATACAAATAAAAGCAAGATTTTATTTCAAAAATATTTTTTGTTCTGTTCCAAAATAAAATGTTTTCAACTTCAAAGATTAATGAAGATAACAGTTGAACTAAAGAGAGTCAAAAAAGAAAAACCTTATTAAATTTAAATTCAATGGCAAGAGCCTTTAAAACACAAATTTCATAAATATTATAAGTTTTTTGTGTTCTGTTCCAGTGGGGGATGAGATATTACATGGAAGCTTCAGACTAGACAGCAACACTCCCAAACATACAGAAAATCTCACAAATGTAATCAGCAGAAATGTTGTTCAGATAGACACCCAGGAACGAGCTGCAACACAACTATTTACTTTTTTTAAAATTAGTACTGAAATAGGAAACCATTTTCTTAAAATATAGAAAGCCATGAACAGTAGATTTACAATTACTGCTCTCCTTAAATGTAGCAGAAATACAGTATCCTTCCTTGACAGACAACTACAGGCAACAGAAACTGATCCCATCCCAATGATCATTTTATTGCAGCTATTCACTTCCTTTTATTAGTTCTTTTAGCATCACCCAAAATATCTTTGATCATCTCAACAAGTTCTATTTTACTGAGAAAGCAAAATTTAAAAAAAAAAAAATGTAGCAAAGGTAGTCTAAGTAGAAAACTTGAAAAGTTCCCCAATCAGAAACATGCATTTTATTATGATTTATATGGAGAGATTTCTGAATTAATACAAGTAATAAATTCTAAAAAGGATAACAGTTGTGTTTAAGGACAACAAAGAAACAATGCCAGCTTGAAAATCCCTTATTAAGCATAGCAAAAAGCAATCACAGCAAACAAATACATTTTCAAAAGATAAACATTTCAGAAATAAATAACAGTTGCAGATAAATTGCACTGAAAAATGTTCAACATCCCTTCACATGAACAAATTAAGTTTTGAAATAATGACTATTCACCTTATGTGAAATCTCAACTAATGCTCCATAAAAACTTATACAATTAAACAGATACATAATTTGCAGTTTATTTTAATATCAATTCCTACATTTAGGAAATAGTACTGAGTAACAAGTTTATTTACACAGTGACTTATTTCAACCTCAACTATTTGAATTAAATTTTATTTTGAAAGGATCAAAAGGTGATTAAATTCTTAACCATAAGTTATCATAATTGCTGACAACAAATTGCTGACAAAAAAAGCTTAAAATTACAGGAATTTTTAAAGCCATCATATGAAGCATGAGAAAGTAAAGCAGAGAAAGAGTTACTATTTTCAAAAAGATAAACTGGATGATGACAATATTAAAAAAATAAAATGAGAAATGTGCATAGTGACAGCTCACAATAAATTTTAGTAAATTTAATGCTACAAACAAGAGTTAATTTAACAAAACCCAAGAGAATCAACAAAAATGTTTTGTGAATTTCAGCTGAACCAACAAAAGCAGAAGATATGACAGTTCATCAGTTTTGGAGTTTGTTTTGTTTTGTTTTTTACTTCAAAAGAGAAAAGAAAAATATGAAAATGAAAAAAAATATGAATAAATCTTGTGAAATAAACATAAAAAGATTAGGAGATATTAGAAAGGTGTAAGATACACTATCAATAATGTTATGAAGCTAAAGCCTTTATTCTGTAGCAAGTGTCCTATATAGTCAACATGATTTTTATTTACACTTGTATGGCAAAGTTTTAGGATAAATGCCTAGTATTGTACAATAGCACATGTAAATAAACATGAAGCAGTATAACATAGCAGTTACCAGTAAATGAAGTGGGTTAGTAGACCAAATGCATATGTTAACATACCAGGCACCATTATGAAACTCAACCAACTTGCATGGTATTTTGTTGACAACTGGGGTTCATTACCTCATAGGATTTACATCCCACCTAAACCCAAACATTAGTCTGAAACCATTAGAACCCATTCCTTAGGCCATTCCACACAATGCCAGTTATCCAGAATTGAATTAAGATCACAACCTTTAATTAAGTGCTATGTCCAGTGCCATGATACTAACAGGAACACCTAGATGGCTCTTCTTCTCCCATACCTAATGGAAGTTAAAGCACATTGAACTGACCTCTGGATATGCATCTGATATCTCCTGCATTGAATGTGGATGTGGTTCGAGCCAGTGCTACTTGTCTTACCATAAACAAGTCTAGCCAGACACTTCTGGTCACAATCATAAAGGACCCATGGTCAGTCACATCATCAGAAATTAAATGTTCCATCCACTTGGCACCCACAATCATGACACTGATAATTCATGGTGCTTTATCATGAGCAGCCTAGTCAGTGTTCATAGTCACAACAGACATCTGAACACATGAAAAAGGCTTGTCATTTTCACATCAAGGTACAGTGGTGCCATATACCTTTACAAACTGCCACTCTCCCCATTATTTTTTTCTTTCCTAAAAAGATAAAAAATTTTTTTTTAAAAAATGAATACTAAGAAGATAACTTTCCTAAGATTGAATATACCATTAGCACTGCAAACTGCTGCTGTTATACACCCAACAAAGTCAAAAAGCATCAAGAAGAGATTTATTTACTCTGTACCTTTTTTTTTCTCTCTAAAACTCTTTACATACAAATCAAGTTAGGAACATGTCTACTGGAAAATGTTAAGACAGACACTTAAAAATTTTCAGAATTTTTCAAGATTCAAGAATAAAAACTTCAATAAACTTTTTGGCAGATTTCAAAACCTTGAAAGAAAACAAAATCAGACTGAAAAAGAAGTCTATAAAAAAAAATCTATTTGGAAAAAAAAAAATCTAAGAAAAAAATTACATTTGCTTAAAAAGAAAAAAATAAGCAACAAAGCAAGAGCTTCATACAAAGCCAGGTAGTATGTTAATACTAAGTTTCGTCAAGCCATTCATATGAGGGAGGAGCTGAAAACTTCTCAACTTGACCCATTTCCAAAAATCAGTTTGGTCATTGAAAGACTGATTTTGAGAAATGGGTCAGACCATGAAGGTTTTAGAAACCCCTCAAAAATGATTCTGAAACATGTGTATAAAACTGTTGGGTTAGTAATAATTGGGAGAAGGAAGGTGGAGTTAATGGCCTTTTATTGTCAGAAATGAAGTATAAAATAAAGCAAAAGGTTTTATATTGACAAAGGATTTCTTAATTGTTGAGGAGTGTAAGAAGTTAGGGAGACAGAGAGACTAAAGAGCAAGAGAGAATCACATACATACTGAGTACAATGAACAGACTTCAACAATTTTAATGGCAACAATAATAACTGAAAATTAAACATTCATTTACATCCAACATCAAAATTTAAATTAAAAGGGAAAAAATAGTTATAGCCTCAACTATTGGAAATTAAGAACAAATCTTATTTTAAATTGCAAGTTAAAATAAAGTTTTCTATAATACAAAATTATAAAAGAGGACAGAGATGGAAACCAAATCAATGAACAAGGCTTTAAGCCTTTCTGGTTCTGGTCATAACTTATAAGCAGTAAAAACTATAATTTTTATAAAGCATTCAATCTAAAAAATAGTATAAGTTCTATTTTCAACTTGCATCTACTGTGAGACAAGTATCTACTAAATGTTTAGGTGCAAACACCATCTTCAAAAACCTTTTCTAGCAGCAGAATAAAATCACAACTTTAAGAAAAGTCCTTAAAAGAAATACTTGTAAATTTAATAAATTTTAAAATTTTATACCAAAGTTTTTAAATTCATTTAAAGTTTATTATTTTCATTTAATGCATTGTATAATCACAGATCTGTCAACATCATCCTTGCAAGATAATATGCTAAATATAATAACCAGCAATATTCCTTTCATTTTAAAATGAAACTTCCAACACTGCTGCAGGATGCCTAACCTATCAGAAATTTATTAACTGGCATTGTGTTATAATACACAGTGCTTAGAAAAACTAGTTTCAAGAAAAACTTTTTGCTACTGCAAAAATTTGATGGGGTCTTATTTTCATCATCTAAGTAGACTTATCAAAATTAATACAACTCTCATACAAAATATTTCAGTCAAAATACTGAAATCGCATCAACAATCAGTAATTAAAGATTTTGTAGAGGAAACTATTTTCACTTTTTGAGAATTTAAAAATTTTGCCCCATTTTTTTTACCAAAATTACTTAAGTTGGAAAAAAAAACAAAAACAAAACAAAGTCATGCTGCAAAAGTTGTTTAAGCATGATAACTTTACTGACCCTTGTGAAAGCATCCTCCATATTTACTGGAGTAGGAGGTGTCTGTGCTAGCTTTGGATCAGAGTCTACTACAGGCTCTTTATGGATCTCCAGGGATACTCTTCGCTGCAACTCTTGCTCTCTTCCCTGGCGTTGCTCCTTAACAGCCTCGGCAGTTTTTAAAGCTAAACAGTTAGCTTCATCCAAGTCATTAACAACCTGTGGGAGGGGCGGGAAAAAGAGGGACAATACAAGATTAAAAGAACAAACAGGTGCAAGAAGATAACAAGGCATGCAAACTTGGTGCAACAGCATCATAGCCTGGTTAGCGTGAGCAACCAGCAATGGCCAAAACAAATTCAAGGAGCATAGAGGGATAAAAGAAAAAAAAACATCAACATGCATAAGATATTGGGCCATGCATCAATTTTTGGAGGGGTTAGTTTAAAATTATATATATATATATATATATATATATATATATATATATATATATATATATATATATATATAAGAGAGAGAAATAAGGAAGATAAAATATACAAATCTATATATCTGATTCATATTGAGTAATCAAATGACAAAATAAAAAAAATAAATAAATAAAAACACTGTCTGAAGTTCCTTCTTGGGACAGAATGCCTTACTTAGATTTTTTTTTTTTTTTTTGCCATTTGATTAATGACAAAAAATTCTTCAATTCTTAAGATCAAAAAAAAAATGAGTCAAAATAAATTTGCATGAAAATTCAGCAAATCTCAACCAATTTAAATAGGTTTTGTTCGTTTCCAATCCACATAACTATTTCAATTATTTCATATGCAAAACTTTTTAATCTTAGAGCACTTATGCTTACTATCAATAAAACAATTTCTAAGTATTTCTGGTAAGTTTTGCTATCATTGTAACCATTATCAAGTATCTTGGCTATAAACTATAAACTGGTAAAATAACTTTTTTACCTCACCATATCAATTCTCCATTTATTTTTATGAAGTAGCTGGCTAGCAATAAGTTTGAATTAAAAAATTACATTCCTATAATTCCTTCCTTAATATAAAATTATCATATATTTACTAAAGCAAATTTAATACAAAACTTTACTGACTTTTGTATCAAAGTATGTATGTCAGATTCATTTTCTAAGCTAAATCCATTTTCATTTTATCAATAAATGACATATATTCAGCATGCAGGTTTAAAAGATAATAAAATCTAATTGTTATAAAATCAACGTCTCTTAACAAGCAAAGTTATATCTGCACAAAAATAATTTGAGTAGTTTACCACAGCTTATTAAATATTTTAACAAATAATTTTCACTTATACTACCTTGGTGTGTTTCCAGATACTAACAGCATTCTCTTTATGCTTATATCTAATTACAAAACTGAAATAACTACCATGTTAAGTGGTCAGCAGGAAGTGGGCTGGATACTTAACATAAAACTGGCTGCTGTAGTTTGTCATATATAAACAGCACTAACAAGAGAGTAATTAATACAATATGTAGATGTTATGCAAGAACTAGCTTCAGAAAAGCATTAGAAGTATTCTCTTCTTTACCATTATTATTACTAAAAATGTGAAGCCAGATATTTTAAGCAGGCCAAGTCAGTAGAATCATTTTCACCAGTGATAAGAATGAACAGGAAATGTACAGAAGAGGAAAATTGTTCTAATCATAAAATAACTGACTCGCTCTAAAAAGGATAGAAAAAGCTGGCTTATAGCAGTACAGTTGCTACTTCCTTTCTCTTACAAAGTACATCTTGTTAGGATAAAGATAAATACAAAAATTTTAATTTAGGCCATTAGATATTTTAGTGAGCACTTAATCCTTCCATGTTTGTAAGAGGAAATAAATCAGAAGATTCTCTTGTATATTTAAAAAAAAAAAAATATATGAAATCTTAGTTATTTGCAACTTCCAAGAAATGTATTCTTTGTAGAATTGCTTACAAACAAAACAAATTTGAATTTAAGCACAATTTGTAAGTTAGCGCTTACAAGATCTTAGAGCAAATCCCATATCAGAACAAGATTTAAACAAGTGTGCAAATAATTGTGAAGTCAAGCATAAAAACATGCAAAAACCAATGAAAAAAATTTTTTTAAGAAAGTTTACAGATAGATACAGATTAAATCTAACACCTGCCCCAATAGTAATTTTCCAACACCAAATTACCACTTTACCAAAGAAAATTCTCACATTCATGAGAATTGTTCATGCAAGATTTGTTAAAGAATGACAAGTTCACATTTATTGCTTATCCAATGTAAATGAAAACTTACAATGACTTGTAAGATCAGCACACTCACATACAAGTGGGTGCTTACATAAAATATTTAATGATTATGTTCATAATGCACACAATGTATGGATTTTGAAACAAGAATCTTAGGTGAGAGAAGAGAAAAATCTGTTAAGTAATCTATCTTTGTAAAAAGACATGCATTTCTATACTTATTCCAAGAAATGCTTTTAAATTAGTTTTTTTTTTATATCTGAAATATCTAGATTGATCCATTGATTTATTTTTTTTTTACAGCTTAACCTTTTTACTGGTTATTTAAGGTCAGAAAATATTTTTAGATTGTAAGAGTTTTTTTGGAGATAACGATTTACTAATACAAGTCCTACTAATTAACTCATAGCTGGGGGAGAAAAGATGAATTCATATTTTCACCCCAAGAGTATTTTCATTTAAGTGAATATAATAAATCTGATTAGAATTGGAACTGGGTTCTCCAATTTTCAATTCCAAGCAGTTACCTATTACACCACCTGCACATTCAAGCTTACAGCACCTGTTATTCCCAAGAGGCCACTATCTAGGTACTGACCAGGCTTGACATTGATTCTTATACAATCACCAAAGTTAAACAGTGTTTCAACATGACTGTAAACCAAAATGCTTGAGAACATTTTTTAATAGTAATTGTAAAAAAAAAATACAAACAGAGTTTAGTATTTGGAAATTTCAATTATTTTTAAAATGTTTTTTTTTTAATTTCTAAAATTCACTTTAAAATAAATAAGGCAATCTGACCTATGTTCTAATGTAAAATAAATTTCTAAATTTTTATATCACTCCTAATTAAACAATTAAAAATCTATCATCTCTATATTAAATTAGTTGCAAGCAACAGACATTATATTGTTACTGTTTCTCTTTGCAACATGTAATCTATAGTTTTAGTATAGTCTTGAGAATTGTTCAAGTTTCAAAAATGCAATCAGTTAAAACATGCTATAAATCAAATTGAAATTGCCCTTGATGGAAGGATATAAGCTTTCAAAAGCAAGATGCATGACCCTTAAAGTGTTTAACTCAAAATAAAATCACATATACAACAAATTCACAAAGAGAAGTGACAAGGGTTTGAACACAAAACAATTTGCTGCCTTACCTCCCATTTTATTTTTTATTTTTGTCAAGTTTAATTTCACTTCATTCTATGTACTTTGGTAAAAATAGGCCTAGTCAAAATGTTTTTCATAACTTCATTTCAGGGTTAACAATAAGAAGGCTAATGTTTTATTTTCCTTCATAAATATGTTCTAAAAACATAAATTTAATGCCTAATCACTTGATATACAATAATGTTCTAAAGATTATGAAGTAAACACCAATGCAATTAACTCGTCAAAAATGGCAATCAAGATGGTCTTTAAGGACATTATTAGCAAGAAAACCAAGTAGTTTTCTTAAATAAAACAGAAATATTTTACTAAGATCAGTGTAAAAAAATTTTAAATAAACATTTAACATAAAAAGTAGGACATGGTTGAAGTTTGCCTGAAAGGGATTTCTGTCTTAACACATTTTTCCTTCTCTTGTCACTTCAGATGAGAAAGAAAGATTAAACAATTCAAACAAATCTCAAGTTGTTAAAAGTTGCAAATGTTTGGTTAGCAAATAGTAAAGAAACTCTGTAAATATAAAATATTAAACATTAGTGTACCAAGTGAACAGTTATAAACAAATAGGTTTCATATAAATAAAAATTAAGTAATGAATACAGTCATTTGTAAAATACATGCTCAATTATCAACCCACATCCAATTACAACAAATTGGAAATTAAGTTATAAAAGAAATTTAAAAAATAAAAAAATCATGCAGAAAGAAAAATGAAATCCATTGTTGACAGCTGCTCTGACAAGTTAAAACAAAATCCCTTTGCATCATTTCAATTATTTACAAGACATAAGCTGCAAAAAATCTTTCTATAAGTGGCAATTATTGTTCTATAAATTTTCCACTTTTCTCCAATTTTCAATTTGAACATCTTTAATAAATTCTTATTCAGTATTTCAAGTTTCAATATTTTGAACAGCATAGAATACATCAGCTACTGTACTGAAACTTGGAAAGAAAAGATTTCTAAAACTTTATGAATGTTTACAAAATCAATTTAATTCTCAATTGTTGCTATTTAAATTTTTTAAAAAAATCATATTTTATCTAACAAATATATTTACAATAATAGAAACTAAATAGCAGTAGAAATTTAGAATTTTGTTACCTTAAGTGCAAAATCCAAATAATCATCTTGATAACACTGTCACTATACATATTATTTGAAGTACACCATGATGTCCATAATTTTAGTCAGTTTCTTAACATAAGATTGGTTGCTGCTTATTTCAAGTTATATATATTACATGTCTATAGTAGATCTGAATGAATAGATGATACTTCATTTGCATTAATAACCTGATCCTTTTTGAAAAAATAAAAGAATCAAGCATTCAAATTTTGGATCAGAATTATGTAAAATATTAATATTTACAAAACAAACATTGCTACTAAAATGATTCAAATTTGATAGCAGTGAAGGTATTTACATATATGTAAAAGTGCAAATATAACAAAACCACTATACACGAAATGAAAGTAGAAAATATTTATGTAAAATTAGTGAAGTTAATGGCTTCTGAAAAACTCAAACTAGCTGCTTGGGAAGATCAGCAAGCAGAATTAGTGTAACAAACCCACTCGATTGTTGCATTTCCATAAGCAAGGTTTGTTGGTTTTGTTAATTGTCTAAAAAGGGCTCAATATCAATGTTTCATAAGAGTTAAAGAAAAATAAAGTCAAAATGGAAAATATTCAATCTTAATTTTAGTACATAGTAATAACAATTTATTATTAGTGCATGAATAATTTTTCTTTGTGTTTTTTGTTTTAACTATTGAAACATTTGAAAAATATCAATAAAGAATATAAAAAAATGGAAATCTCTCCCAATGGTTTAAATGAACCTGCAAAAAATGCTATATAAAAATATTAATGTTCATTTATAACAATATGCTTAAATATATAACTCAAGAAACACAAGCCTTAATTTTGTCATAAAAACATCTTGAATTTACTTTGAACCCAAGTTTTAAAGCAGTCAAATGCTACCAAATAGATCAGCAACAAGGATAATATATTTCAAAATTCAAATCATTTTAAAAAACAAATATAGTTACAAACTTTTTATGTATTAACATTAATAATACATATAAAGAAAAAAAGTAAAACAGAAAATAACAAGTGAATAATGGCATAACAATTTTTACTAATTTTTTTTCTGCACATAGTACTGGAGAAAAGATTTTCTTTTATATTATTATAATGATCAGGAAAAGTTGATAAAACAACAAACTGAAAACATTTCTCTATGCTTCAGAGTCAGTATCAATACTAAAGAATTTTCTTGCATATAATTAAGATAAAATAATAGTCGACTTAATTAAATACTTGCATGTAAATTTTTATTAAAAGATAATGAAAACTTGCTATTCAATTTATCTCTGCTTTTCAACTAGAGAGTAATTTTTCAACAATTAGAAGGAAATTTTAATTAAATTCCATAAAAAGCAATCAAGCCATTTTCAGATTATTTCATACTTAATAAATGTTGTATATATCAGATTCAGCAGTTATTTTTGCTATAATTTAAATTATAGGCAAAACTATTTTGCTATTCATATAAACTTTAATTGGGTTCATAGTTGAAAATATATCAGAATATTAATCAAACATTCAAAATTTGATTAAAAATTCTTAATGATTCTTTCAAAAACAAAAATTAATAAAAAATAACTAAAAGCCAATAAAGAAAACATATCCAAGTTTCATATAGCATACATATGTATCAAAATAATAAAGCACAAGTGAGTTGGGTTGTATGTTAAAGGTCAAAGTTGAAAATAAATTAGTGGTTGAAGTTAGCCATTATTCAGGAAACAAGTACTTATAGTGATGAAAACCATTTAAAAACAAAGCAACACATATCAGCAAGAAATTCTGTACCAAATAACCAAAAGGATATTTATGTGGATGGGAAAGTTTTTAAAAAAGGTTTTCTTCCAGTTTGAGTTGGCATATTATTTATGGAATGTACAGATCTAGCAGAATGAAATTAGTTAATGTAAAATAATAACAAAAGGGAGCGTGGAGGAGTAATAATTATAATAATGAGAAAATATAAAAATAAATAAATAAATAAAAATTTCTTCAATTTTATTAATTACTGTTACTGCCCACAACAGCTGTTTATCAAGTACAGTTCTTCAACCTTGAGTGTTTTAAAAAGAACTGCTCATTTTCATTCATTAATTTGTGCATTAATTCTATGAAGCAAGAAACTTAAAAGCATTTCACTTTTGGTACCTGCAGGGTATCGCAAATCAGTCCAATCTTTACTTGATGCCTCAGGATAATGGCCTTGTTCTGGACTAAGCTAAACTTAGTAAAAAATATAATACGTAGCAAGCTATTCTCACAAATTGTTCACTAGTATAGTGAATTTGATCCTAACAAGAATCAAAATTTCTGTAGTTGTGTCAGTAAAATCCAACAGCAGAATTTTTATACATCTACACCAAATAAATTGTGATTGCATCTTTTGTTAATAGCTTTTTTAAAACTGAATTGTTTGATCATTTACATGACACTTCAAAAATAGTCTTGTGCCAAACTTTGGCTCCAGAAGTTGAAAACAGGTTTTATGGGGAATGCTACCTTGACATTAGGTATACGTCATCTTTCAAATTCCAGAAAAATCTATCAGATTAACACTAAAGGCAATGAAACTAAAACAAATGCTGTTGTGGTTTAAAAAACTAAATGAATAAAAATAAAAAGCCAAAAAATACATTGAGATAGCTCTAATTACAAATTAATTTGAGATCTCAGTGAGGTTATAAGCTGTGAGCTAAGTAAATGCTGTGATAAAACTTTTTCTTTTTAAATATGAAATGTTATTTGCTTTAAGTTCATGCAATACATCACAAACAAGAAGTGTCTACCTCCATCCTGTGTGTGTGTGTGTGTGTGCGCATGTGTATGTGTTGGTCAATGATGATATGGCTGTTTGCCTAATTTCCTCCACACAGTGTGGAAATAAGATGCTACGAGGCACCAGAAATACATGCAGGCCATGCCTTAGGAATCTGTGTATTTACCTCAGGTAAAGACCAACTGCTCTTGTCACTGCCATCAATGTAGCCTGAATCACTGCTCACTGTGTGACGTTTCCAGCGCATTTCAGGAGACAAATTTCTAAACTCTTCCCCTGACCTATAAAATAAAAAATAATGTACTCTAATGTTTATAATGTCAAAGATATTGAATAGATTAAATAAAATAAAAATTTAAAGAATAGGATTCAAACAAGTCAAATTTGCCAAGCCAAGATAAGAACCAAAATGTAAAAGTTAGCTTCCATTAAAAAATAAGAGCAACTGCAATTAAACAGAATGCAAAATTCAGAGAAATTTTTAATATATAACTCAAATGGTTTTAAAGGCAAAAATTGATGAAAAGATATCTAGCAATTTGCACAGATTCACATTAACTATAAAATTAAAGTTGAAAACCCTAATCCAAGTGTTATTTTCATTTATTAAAAGATCATAAATTTTTATCAATATTTAAAATCTGTCATGTTATTAAGTCCAGCAGAGAAAAATGCAATGAAAGCAAATACTCTATAGTAACTAAAATGATTATTAAAATGCAGATGAAGTGGATAGATTTTTATTTAACTGCAGTCTTGTATGTTCTTTGATGATCAAAAGAAAAGCAGCATATCTAACATTTTGTAGGTTTTTTTTTTTTTGTTTTTTTCAAAGATATGTATTCGCAGTAAGAAAAAAAGGGGTGAAGGGATAAAACAAAGAAGTGAACCAGGTATTTGATTGATATTTGGTGAAACATAGTATCATGTATTGGAAAAGTGCAAAAAACATGTTGCATGTCCCTCCTCACAAACTATATGATATACAGAGTATATGAAATGAAGCGAAATATAGGTCATAATACTTCAAAGTATTATGGGTAGACAAGCAGAAGTGAAAGTACAGCTGATTTGATACAATTGCATTGACAGAATAATTCAGTATAGAGTAATTGATAACTCACACTACAGGTTGAGGGAAAGACTTCCGACTATTCCATTTCATTTCTGTATCATAAAGGAGAGCATTGTTCCTGTCAGCCTCTCTTTGAAGGTATTTCATGATGTGTGCTTTGCCTTTTGTACAAACCTGTCAATAAAAAACAGATGACCAGACAGCTTGATAAAATCCTTTTATTAAAACACAAGGTAAATTAAAAAAAAATCAGTAAAAGAAAATTATTTTTAATGTTTTAAAACTCATTTTTATTTTCCTTAGACATTTCTGAATTGTTAAATAAACAATTTAATAATTGAGAAATAATGTTTAACAAAATTCAATTAGCTTTAAATTCTTTTCATAGAAGTTAAATTGCAATTATGTAAATAATATGTAAAATTGTTAAGAAAAAAAAAAGTGATTTTCCTCTGGTTATCCTTGGTACATAAGCTTCTACACAAAAAGTAAAAAAGTATTTTTTCATCATTTTTGGTCATCTACACATTAACAGTGCATATGTCAAGGATTTTATCAATTAAACTATGATGTAGGAACACTCATTAACTCCATGTTCCAAAGGTAAGAAAAAGTTCAACTGTTTCTCTAACAACTGCCCCTTTGTGGAACAGACTCCAACACAAATGCTTCCCTGAACACTATAATTCCAACATTGTCAAGGCAAGGGTCAATTATTCTTATTGCCATAATCTTCACTTCCTATTACCTACTTTTTCATTGATATCACACACCTCATTCATTACCATTTTAACAGTAACCTACCATGATTGGCTATAGAGTTTTGTATTAAGTTAATTCTAATATTACAAAAAAGAAAAAACATGACAACTGAAAAATTTGGCAAGAAAGAAAACAAAATGGTAAGCAAGCATAGCACTTTCATTTAAAGTCTATTTGACTGTATTCAAATATCAAACTTTTATGAAGTTAATAGATTAAAAATGAAAATTCAGTAAAAAGGTGTCAATTTCAAGTGTTTACATAATTTCAGAGACTTCTGAACCTTTCTAGTTTTTAAAGTTGTGGTTAACAAGTGAGAAAGAATACTTACATGAGCAGGAGGAGTTACTAATGGATTATGGTCTAAAATCATTTCTTCCAATGTCTGCATTGATCGAAAAACAATTGGTATTGAAGATATCTTATTAGCTGAAAAATCTATCCTTCGAAGATTCAATTTTGAAATTTCTGGAAAAATAATGATGATTATTATTACAAATGAATGTCAAAAAAATAAATGCTCATTATTGTTTACCCAAGAAAAAAGATTTACATAAAAAATAAAATATTAATTTTAATTAATTTTTCTTATTTTAATATTAAACATAAAACAAAGTAACATCTTTAAAGTTAGAAAAAAGTTTCATGCATGAGAAATTTTGAATATAAAAAAAAATCTGCAAGAAGTTTGAACAAAAGCTGGAACATTTTTTGTACAAAAACCACAAAAATGAAAATAGTATAAAAAAGCATTCATAGTATGTGTTTATTTAAAAACAGCAACTGCAGCTATTACATCAATAACAATGCAATTGTTACAATATGAAAGCTTTCATTACTAGATAAGCTCAAGTGAAGACATGGCTCAAATCAGCCAAATACAATATGTTAATGCAACAATCAACAAAAAATCTTCCTGCCTTGAGAATGCAGGAAGATTTTAGTAGATCTATGTTCATAGCACAAAATACAACACAAATATCTATTTGAACTGTTAGGAAAACTTGATTTATTTGGGAAAGATATTAGAATAATCCAGAACATTTACTAGGAACAAACTGCTAGCATGCAGATAGAAAATGAATTTAGCATGTACAAAAAATAAAATAAAAATGAGAATAAGACCAGGATGTGTTTTTCACCAGATTTATTAACTCTATACAGTAAGGTGATCTTAAAAGACCTGGAGGTTCTTCCAGGATTTACTATTAGTGGGTACAATTTCAACAATACAAGATATGCAGACAACACAGCCATTGTCTATTTTATGAACTGGAACTTACAATATAACACCCAAGTGTTAGCTGACCAGATATTGTTTTGTTTTTTTTTCTTCTTCTAATGAAAATTTTGCACATTTGCAAATCTTTTGAACTCTATGGTATCAGATGCTTATATATCCTATTTCAGAAACACAATGATGTCAACACATGGTACTGCTTACAAGTTGTTTTTTTTTTTCTTCCCTAAAAATTAACTTATTCTCTACTTCACATACACAAAATATTACAAGTGTATAGCAACAAACTTATAAAGACAAAATTAATGTAAAATGTACAGTCTATATTCTAAAACTATTTTGAGAAATCATTCATCCATTGATTTTGCAAGTAGTTATATTTCTTCATATGAAACATTGCACAGCATATGATGGTGTATTATTATGTAAAAAAACAAAAAAAAAAAACTATAGATATCTGAGCTATCTTCTTAACACCATGTGAAACTTGTCATAAGCCCACCGCTTCACCACCTGAAATCCCACCCAAAAACATTCCACTACATTGATATCCCAACCTGTAAAAGTAGTTTCTGCCAGTTTCACCCATGCTTTATTCCATTCATCTGCCCAATCAAAAGTAGCATGACATTCATAGTGAAATGAACAGTTGAAAAATGAGCTTTTGCAGATTCTGCTGTATATTTAATTCAATTTTGCTTATATATTTTAAAGAAGGCCAAATGATTCATCTCATTTTTTCTTTTGAATTAGACATTAGTATTCAAGAAGCATTAGCACTCAATTTTTCTAAAGCAATTAGTGTAGCAGGTCCCTACTGCATATGGTGATGCATCACAGTTGACCTTGAATGGAAGGCCTGCATCATAATGGCTCAATATCCCAGCATTTTTTTCATTTTCCAAAAAGCATCTTCTGCCATTACTCAAGGAGCATAAGTTCGGCATAATTTTAATCAAAGGAATTTTTATCCATTTAAGCTGATAGCCATTACCTGCTTTCACTAGGTAAATAAATGTAAAAGCTTATCCCAAACTAGATTATATAAGTTGAATAAACAAATATTTAGCATTAATTAAAAAAGAAGAAAAAAAAGTCAAAATATTCCACAACACTTTAATAAAACAAATCACAACAATTCAATCAATTTTGTCTTCAAGTAGTCCAACAATTACAGACATTACTTTGAATAGTTTACTCTTCATACCAACAACAGTAAAGGATAATTGACTCATCAAAGCTTCTACTCTATCAAATGACTTTATTTAGGATTTCAAGTTATCAATTAAAACAACAATGTCAACTAGTTGATGATCTCAAGAAGAGAGAACAGATTAAGTGAGAAGATGAAGGAAGCATGGCAAAAGCCTGCTATTATTTCCTTTAAAATTGCTTGAAATGCATGTGATGAAACAAAATACAACTAAGTAGTACATGAATGAGAAACTCAAAGATTTTTTTTTCCTTCTATATGTATTTCATTAAAATGTCTTCATCACAGAATAATAGAAATAAAAAATTGGAATAAAATTCAAAACAGAAATGTAAATTACAGGGGACAATTAATAATTTAAATAAAGTGGTGAAAACAGATACATAATTATAATCATTCTTGGCAGATACAGAATTTAACTTTTGATCATGGATCATAAATCAGTTCATATATTTCCACATATAAGACAACCTTTAAATCCCAAAAATCATCCTTAAAAACTAGAGGTCATCTTATACTACAATTCTAAAAAAGAAATCTTAAATTCTGAGTGATGCTTGTCAGCCTCAGCGCAATAACCAACAACATACACGAAAAGATTCACATTATCAAATAAACTGGTAATAAAAGCATTTCTACATTATATATTACTGGCATAACTTCATAATAAATTGCCTATTTGAAGAATAATTCCAGATCAATGAAATCAACTTGTATCCATGCAAGCTCATATGAAATATTTTAAAGTCTTTTAATCTACTTGTATGTCAGAGAAGAGTTCACAGGTTTTTTATGGACAACATGTAGCACCTAACAGAAGCAGTCAACATCTTGATCTATTTTATATATATATATATATATATATATATATCTGGTCATTCTTTCATTATCTCTATTATATTCACAAAACAAACAGAACACACATCATGAGTCAACTAACTTTAAAGTGTCTCAACATTTCACATTGAGTGAATGAGAACTAAAAGATTTTTAAGCTAGTTCCACATGACTCATACATTTACACCAGATTTATTCTTTTTAAAGACACCAAGCAGAGTTAATTTTGCTTTTATTCTAAGAGGAATTTAAAATTATAATTCAGTATTTAATTATTACAAATTGTTTTCTTAATAAGTTTAACAAATTCAATGCTAAAGACATTTCAAAATAACTCATTAAAAATTCAATGTACTACACAGTAAGGGAAGAAAGAAGAGAAAAATATTTTAGATTACTGGATGCCATGCACCACTGAAGGTATCTACAGAACTCACCTGTTAAAAATGTAAGTTAGAAAGGCAAGAGTATTAGTCAAAATGTCAATCATTAAACTTCATTGAAAAAGTTGACTCCTTCAGATATTCTGTTTGAAATGAGTTTAATAAAATTAAAAATCAACAAATCATAATTCGGTATCTGTCTATATTTCCGAGATGAGGTGTTATATACACTATTTACGTTATTTGGACTATTGTCCTCATCTTTGTTGCCATATCACAATGTTTTGGCCATTGTATGCTCCAGCCTTCTTCAGGTGGTTGGAATGTCAAACTGAACCCTTTATTTCGCTCGCTGGGGTAGACTGTTCTAGTTCCATATGCCATGTCTAATGGATCAGTTATCAGTTATCTCCTGTTAATTCCCCTCTCCAAGTTCTCCACTGCCTTAACCAGGTATTGAACTCTCACACTTTGGGTCCTGTCACTGTATCTAAATAACGTCTTTATACACTATGTAATGTGTCCTTGAGGACACATGGCACAGTACATAAAGCAGATGATATCTTTTACACAATCACAAAAATTTACACTATGATAAATACCAGTTTTAATAGCACTAATGATAGTACAACAACTATCATCATCAGGACAGCATAAGTTACCACAAATCAATTGTGTTATTTGAAAAGTTCAAAAGACAACTTCTAAACTAACCAAATAACATTTTTATTCTGGGAAGAGAGAACACAATATTGGGATTTTGTTGGGATTGGATTAATTCATGATTTGATTTCAAAATCTAATTCAGAACTATGAAGAGGATTCACATTCACAAATAATTCAAAATATCTACATAATCAATTGTTATATACATATTGTTTAACTGTAAAAAAAAAAAAAAAAATCCCAGGGGTTAGAATTCTAAAAGCATTTATCTCATAGCAACAACTTCCCAACTGTATTTTCTAAATTTTTTTTTTTTTTAAATTAAATTCATCTAAGCAACCAAGGTGAAGCTAGAAGTCATTGTATTTACAAATTTCTATTCTGATCTCAATTCAGCACTAAAATAGATATCCATGTATTTAATTCTTATCAATTTTTTTTTTATTCTTATTAGATATTCTTGACAGTAAACCCAAAACTGCTTGAATAAGTTTTTATTCTATATTAGCAAAAAGCTCAGTTTGAACACACACCACAAATAAAATGCTGTACAGCATTAAAATAAACCATTCATATAAATGAAATATCTGGAATAAATTGCAAGCAATGCTGTTTTGGACTATAGCCATTCTTTCATTCTTGTACAATTAAGTAAATGATATCAATATTTTGCCTTTTCATTCATTTTTGGTTAGTTTTATTTTCTTCATCTTCCAGTGCAATTTTCTAAGCCAGATACTCTCTGATTATTTAAGTAGTGTGAAGCAGGATGAAATATAATTTCCAACAAGACAAATTTGCAGCCAATGTTGCAAGGATTTGTTTTTCCTGTATTAATTCCACCATGAAAACTTACATATACCTAGACAGACGCAAATCTGTAGTCATTAGGTTTTTTTACTACCTCAATCATCTGAGAATGTATTTTTATTCTTAATTTTAGGCTAAGCCATTTCTCATTTTATTGTTGTCTTTATAACTATCAATATCCTCTATCAAAGTAAAAACAATATGACATGAACACAAAGTAGGATAACAATATGAATATAGATTTGTACCAAATCAAACCACAAGTTTCCACAGTGGAATTGGTTAAATTACTGTCTATAAAAGACAAGCTCCTAGAATATGCAATATAAGTTAAAGTATCACTGGAAGCTACTACATCCATATTTCATATGACTTATTTTAACAATCCTCTTGAATTTTACTTTTACTTTAGTGTTAAGAAAGAGCTAGTCAAAAACTGACAATAAAATACTTCATCTCAAAATTCAAGTAAGTTCCTTTTTAAAATATTATTAAACTGTCATTAAAAAACTTAGATATATGTTTTCAATATAAATTTCATCACATTTAATTACAAATATAATTAAATGGAGATATGTAAATGCAACTGTATCAAAAAATTAAGAGAATTTTAATTAAAAATCTAAGCATTCAGAAATTTACTTTTTTTCACTTATGATTCAACTTTAAAAAAAATCCTTAACTAGTTTTAAATTTAAAACTCAAAATGCAACATGCCAAACAGTGGTCAGTTAATA